CAGAAAAACTGGTTCATGCATTTGTCACATCTAGACTGGACTATTGAGATGGTTTGTTATCTGGGTGTCCAAAAACTTCTTTAAAAAGTCTTCAGTTGATCCAAAATGCTGCTGCCAGAGTCTTAACTGGAGTTAGTGGGAGATCATCTCTGTCCAGTTTTAACTTCTCTCCGTTGGCTCCCTGTCAAGTCCAGAATTGAATTCAAAATTCTACTTCTAATCTACAAAGCTCTCAACAACCTAGCTCCATCTTATACTGTACATGTTTTGTGTTTGTAATTATTCCTATCCTTCACATGTGCTTTTTGTCTTTCTTCCAGTATAGGAGGTACACCTGCACCTACACCTGGACATTCTGTGGTCATTCGTTTCTCCTTCCTGTCCTTTCAAACTCAGCCGGTCGAAGCAGACGGCTGCTCTTCCTGATCCTGGTTCTGCTGGAGGTTTCTTCCTGTTAAAAGGGAGTTTTTCCTTTCCACTGTTGCCTTTGTGCTTGCTCAGGCTGGGAGACTGAGACGAAGTGAAGGTTCAACACAGTCTGCTGGCTTCCTTAGATAGAGAACTTTTACTAATTGGCTTTTTATGCGTGTGAATGTTTCTGTTCAGTGTCCTGAGATGACTTCTGTTGAGAGTTGGTGCTATATAAATAAACTGAAGTGAACTGAATCACCATGCAATGTGAAACTGGTGGCAATGCAATGGTTTATAAATTTTGGGAAAAAAGAAACCAATATGTAATTTTTGAGATTGGAGTTGTTCTAAATTAGTTTAAAATTAGTCCTGGTTTTCATAAGACTTATCGTTAGCTCAGCAATCAGGTCAGAATTGGACTCTCCAAATTAAAAAAAGCTACTCACAACAGGTTAATTGCTCATAACAATTTCACAAACAATCTCTCTAAAAACATGAATTATCCCCTAAGTTAAAGCAAGTTAACTTGCCCTACATGTCACAGAATTGATACAGTCACAAATACACAAGGAATACATTTTGTATCCTCAAAAAAAACATTTTTACTGGAAAAAAAACATAAGAGAAAATAAAATCACATGAACTTCTGCTAATAACCTGTTTAATATATCCCTACAAGTAAATACAAGTTGCCTCTGCTCAAATAAGGTGCCAACATTTTTGTTAAAATGTCCCACCCAAATAAAATAAGAGCGCTTACTCATATATTCATCCTCAAGGTATTTCAGTAACAATTCTAACGTTCACGTTCATATCAGCAAACATGGCCTCTGAACTATTGTTGCAGTTTATGACAACGTGACACCCGACCTCAAGGCAGACACAATGACTGCAAGATCGTAGATACGTTTCTTTAATTAGTGTTTTATGACATGTGCCTGATGTTAATACAGTAAACATAAAAGAGCTGTACAGCTGGAGGCACTTTTATTTCAGTTTAATTAAACGTGTTTAGAGAACGCTAAGAGATGGGGAACTTTTGTTCATAAATAGCAAAGTTTAATCAGTAGATAAGCAGCAAAACACAGCACGCTACTCTGCTATGTAAGACAACAGGTTTTTTTTTATTGTGGGATTCTTTGCAGGTTTTATATAAACACACCTTGTCACGCTATCTTATATTAAGGTGGTGACTCATACTAATAAACACAAATCAAGTCATCGTTCATCTCAGTAATTACAAGTTAACGGGTCTGCAGCACAAAACATCAAATGCATCACAACAGGTGCCTGTCTGGCAAAAAATACAAAAATCTTATTAAACTGCAAACTTAGGGAATGTAGTGCAAGATTTTTCCCCGGTACGTCTAAAAAGCACGGGAAACAGGAAAGAGGGGAACGTTCTTGTTGACTCTTACTGTATGTTGGTCTGTAGGAGTCAGGTGATTTCATCAGAGCTACACAGGTGGTATTTAGTACGTCTCAGATGAAGCCTGCAGGAGTAATTTACAACTTGTTGACAATAAAAAAAGAAGGCATAAAAATGTGTGGAGTAGCTGGGAGTAAACCCACCCCCGTTGATGTGGCTCACAAGAAAACTGTTGACTTAAAAATATGGTACAAAGAAAATTTACACTTTTGGACAAAAAAAAAAAAATCTAATTTTTATTGCTAGTGATAGATGAAAAGAAACAGTGCATATGTTTAATTTCTGTTGAACAAACTATAAAAACAAATTGGAAAAAAAAAGTTTTAATCATTATTTAATTTACATTCAGAAAAACTCATTCATTGTGAGTTTGCATCAAGAAATGCTAATAGAGTTGAAACTGAACACCACAAATATACAGAGAAGTTCAACACCTCCTTTTAACCTTCAGCGCAAAGGTCGTAGTCAAAGTTCAAGATATGCTGCTGTGTCGCCTAATTTTAGCTCAGTATGTAGCTGAGTTGACTTTCTTTTATCTTCGCCTTCCTGCTTCAGCTGTCGTCTTCAGAATGCAGCGCAGGATGTCTTCATGGACTTTTCATTTCTTTCTTCAGTTTGATCGTAAACGAAGAGCCCTACAATAAAACGAGCGATAAGAAAGAAGCAGTCGGGCTTTAAGGACAAAATACGGAAACTACAATTTAACAAGGTCTAAATAAGATTTCACCGACACCTCAGTTTGATTTGTTCATGCTGCAACAACACCCACAAACATGCTGCTTCAGAGCTACCGAATGACTTCACTTTGTGAAAAGTCACAACTTACTCAGTCAGATTTGTTCCATTTCTGTGGAAAAAAGTGAAATAGAGTAAAAACAAAGTTATACGCTGAAAAAAAAAAGGGTTTTCATGAGCTGAACTCAAAGATCTAAGACTTTTTCCATGTACACAAAAGTTATTTTTCTCTCATTGTTCACAAATGTGTGTAAATCTGTGTTAGTGAGCACTTCTCCTTTGCCGAGATAATCCATCCCCCTCCCAGGTGTGGCATATCAAGATGCTGATCAGACAGCATGATTATTGCACAGGTGTGTCTTAGGCTGACCGCAATAAAAGGCCACTCTAAACTGTGCAGTTTAATTTTAATGTTTTGGGGGGTCATAAAAACAATCTATCTGATGTGACTACCATTTGCCTCATGCAGTGCAACATATACTTCATTGTGTGCCACTTCATATACTACCACTACTATTCCCTGGTTTTCAACACGGTATGATTTGTGTTGATCCTGTATGCATCACACTGTGTTAGTCATCATGTTATTATCTGCTATTATTTTGTTTCTATATTTTGATTTTATGTTATGTGTTGCTGTGTGCTTCGCCTGCTTGTTTCTGTTTGTACAGCACTTTGGTTGGCCCTGTCGCTGTTTAAAGTGCTTTATAAATAAAATGGTATGGTATGGCATATAGAGTTGATCAGGTTGTTGATTGTGGCCTGTGGAACATTGGACCACTCCTCTTCAATGGCGGTGTGAAGCTGATGGATATTGTCAGGGACTGGAACGTTGCCATAAAGGCTGATTTAGAGCATCCCAAACGAGCTTAATGGGTGGCATGTCCAGAGAGTATGCTGGCCATTCAAGAACTGGGATGTTTTCAGTTTCTAGGAATTGTGTACAGATCCTTGCAATATGGGGTTGTACATTATTGCTCCAACATGAGGTGATGGTTGTGGATGAATGGCACAACAATGGGCCTCAGGATCTTGTCATGGTATTTCTGTGCATTCAGAATGCCATCAATAAAATGCATCTGTGTCCATAACATATGTCTGCCCATACCATAACCCCACCACCACCATGTGCCACTTGATTCACAACGCTATCAGCAAACCACTCTCCCATACGACACATTACGTGTCTGCCATTGGTCCTGTACAGTGAAAACTGGGATTCATCCATGAAGAGAACACCTCTCCAACGTGCCATGCAACATCGAATGTGACCTTTTACCAACTCAAGTTGGTTACGACAACAAACTACAGTCAGGTGGAGACCCCGATGAGGACGACAAGCATGCAGATGAGCTTCCCTGAGATGGTTTCTGACAATTTGTGCAGAAATTATTCAGTTATGCAAACTGATTGTTGAGTGGCTGGTCTCAGACGATCTTGGAGGTGAAGATGCTGGACGTGGAGGTCCTGGGCTGATGTGGTTACACGTGGTCTGCTGCTGTGAGGCCGATTGACTGTACTGCCAAATTCTCTGAAACACCTTTGGAGATGGCTTATGGTTGAGAAATGACAATTCAATTTACCAGCAACAGTTCTGGTGGACATTCCTGCAGTCAGCATGCCAACTACACACTCCCTCAAAACTTGCAACATCTGTGGCGTTGTGCTGTGAGATAAAACTGCACAGTTTAGAGCGGCCTTTTATTGTGGCCAGCCTAAGACACACCTGTGCAACAATCATGCTGTCTTATCAAAATCTTGATATGCCACATGTGTGAGGTGGATGGATTATCTCGTCAAAGGAAAAGTGCTCACTAGCACTAAAAGAAAAGGGCCTATTGTGTACGTAGAAAAGTCTCAGATCTTTGAGTTCATCTTATAAAAAAGGGAACAAAATCAAATGTGTCGCGTTTATACTTTGGTTCAGTGTAGTTTGAATTCATGAGAAGAGCATTTACCTAGCTGCTGTATGAAGAAACAAATGATAATGTATTTAGAAGAAATCAAATGAGCAACACTTCCACTACTTAGTTTTCACCAACCACAAATGGACATTTTCTCTGCTTCTACATGCAACATAAAAAAGCATAATTACGTCCCATTTTGGCCCAATTGTGTATTTGAAGTGTTTAATCGGATAAAAAAAAATGCTTTCAGTTTTCTTTTCTCTTTGTATTGTAAAATTTAAACTTTTACTTTGCTTTTGAGCTGAATTTGTTACATGTAACATAAAGAAAAAGCTTATTTTGAGCCTATTTTGCAAATTGTTGTGGCAAGTCCAATATGATGCAAGTGCTGCACATTCCTGTCTTTTTTTTAATTATTATTTTTTAACAGAGTTTAGTAGAGGAAAGTTGTTGTGGAGAAACAGTGACACAGAAACACATAAGCAAAGACTCAGTTTCATCTACTTGCTCTGCAGAATTTACTTCTTCATCCGGCCTAATGATTTATGTTCAGTTTTTTCTTCTGAGCCTCAATGAACAAAAACATCTTTATGTTAGCATGAGGGTATGCATGAATTTGCATCTGTGTAAATATCTACAGATAAATGCTAAATCCTATACCAATATACTGAAGGATGAATACAGTCATTTAAATTAAGATTTTCAATTGTGATCTAATCTAAATAACTGATTTGATCTTTTCTGTGTATGTGCAGGCTCAACTGGTTTCAGTGGTTTTTATGCCATGAGGGAACTTTATGAAACTGGACATGATGATCCTGTTTACTCTGCAATAAAACAATGTATATGAGGATTTTTTTTTTTTAGGGAATCTGAAACTCTTCTAACAGAGTTTTTCATAGATGCATCAAGCACTTCAAGTCTGAAGTGTAACGGTTAGCTATCTGCTTTCCAAGGTATGATAAATGATTGTAAACTTTATGAAAAGCCCTTATAAATGTGTTATCTTTTGTGAAGGAAAGTATTTTATATACCTGGTCTTGATGAAGGGTTAGAGAGAAAGTTCAGACCTTTTGAAGTAGGGTTTTATGGGAAGGTTAAATTATAAATTATTACTCTATCTTTGCAGATAACTCTTTGAATGACCGCGTTCTGGAAAAACAGCATTCACTCCTGACCGTATTGACAAGATAACAGCTAATCTGAGTGAGATTAAAGTGTCAGAAATGTCATAGTTTCTACACACACATATATATATATATATATATATATATATATATATATATATATATATATATAT